GGCTGAGTTGGGTGGATCACTTGAGGCCAGGAGTTCGAGTCCAGCCTGGGCAACATAACAAAACCCTGTCTATACTAAAAATACAAAAATTAGACAGGCATGCTATGCTCCTGTAATCCCAGCTACTTGGGAAGCTGAGGCAGGAGAATCATTTTAACTGGGAAGGCAGAGGTCGAAGTGAGCTGAGATCATGCCACTACATTCCAGTCTGGGAGACAGAGTGAACCTGTGTCTCAGAAAAAGAAAAAGAAAATGGCCTTGGCAGAGTGGTTGGCCTGACAATGCCTTCTCTTGGGTTTCTCCTGGGTAGGGCTCTGTCATGAGGAGGTGCTTTTTTCTCCCTGTTCATGGTCCACATCCAAGAAATTTCTTTTTCTGGGGGTTGGGTGGGGGACAGAACTGGAAACCTTCTTTAGGTGATTTTTTTTTGTTGTTGTTGTTTGTTTTTTTTGAGATGAAATCTCATTGTGTCACCTAGGCTGGAGTGCAGTGGCTCAATCTCAGCTCACTGCAACCTCCTCACTTCTGTTTTCAAGCGATTCCCATGTCTGCGCCTCCTAAGTAGCTGAGATTACATGCATGTGCTACTGCACTGGCTAATTTTTGTATTTTTAATAGAGATGGGTTTTCAAACTCCTGACCTCAAGTGATCTGCCCATTTCGGCCTCCCAGAGTGCTGGAATTATAGGCATGAGCCACCATACCCGGCCCCTTCAGGTGGGTTTTGAGGCTTCACTACAATACTAATTTTCTGTTGCTGCTGCAACAAATTACCGCACACTTAGTGGCTTGAAACAAAACAGATGTATGCCCTTACAGTTCTGAAGGCCAGAACTCTAAAGTCAGTCTTACTGACTTAAGTGGGGAGCAGGGCCAGTGCCTTTGGAGGCTCTGCAGGAGAATCCCTTTCCTGGCCCTGGAGATGGCCTGCAATGCCCAGTTTGTGCTGCCCTTCTTGAATGATTTAAGTTTCCTGCTTCCATTACTACACCTCCCACCACTGTCCATCACCTGCTCTGCCCTTATAAGAATCCGGGTGAGTACACCAGCCCAGCTGGGACAGGCTGGGATAATCTTCCCAGCCAAAGATTCTTAAGTTCATTATATCTGCAAAGCCCCTTTTGCCATACCAGGTCATGTTCACTGGTTCTTGCGATTAGGATATGGGTACCTTGGGGGGTTACTATCAGCCTACTACAGCTAGGCTGCAAAACTATTACACCCTTTTGGTGTTTTAATGATTGAGAGAAAAAGGGTTGGAATTTTTTTGGGGGCGTGGGTTCCTCTTAAACGTGTTATCTTTAAACTCTGGGGTCCATCTTAACCTTGTTTTATTTCTTTTCTTTTTCTTTCTTTTTTTTTTTTCTTTTTTTTTTTTACGTTTTTGATACAGAGGCTTGCTTTATTTCCCAGGCTGGCAGCGGCAAGGTCTCGGCTCACTGTAATGTCTGCCACCTGGGCTCAGGCAACTCTCCCACCTCAGCCTCCTGAGTAGCTGGGACTACAGGTGCCTGCCACCACACCTGACTAAGTTTTGTATTCTCAGTAGAGAAGGGGGTGGAGGGTGGTGGAGGATGGTGGAGGGGGAATGGGGGTTTCCACTCTTTCCCTGAGCACAAAGTGATCTGGCTGCCTCTGCTCGCAAAGTGCTGGGATTACAGTCCTGCACCGCTGCACCTGGCTGCTGTAAAGTCTTATTTCCACACAGCTGAAACATGTTTTTGGAAGTTTGCTAAAGGGCCCCTGGAGACCTCCTGATGGTGGTTTTCCTGTTGTTGTGTTTAATTTGATTGATCTTTTCTGCTTTCCAGAAATTAAAAGGCTAACATGAGGTAGTAAACTTTAAAACTTCTCTTTTCATTTATTTATTTATTTTTTGAGATGGAATCTCACTTTGTCACCCAGGCTGGAGGGCAATGGCATGAACTAGGCTCACTACAACTTTCGCCTCCTTGGTTCAAGTGATTCTCTTGCCTCAGCAACCCAAGTAGCTGGGATTACAGAAGCACACCACTACAACTGGCTGTTTTATATTTTTGGTAGAGATAAGGTTTCAGTATGTGAGCCAGACTGGTCTTGAACTCCTGACCTCAAGTGATCCACTCGCCTCAATCTCCCAAAGTACTGGAATTACAGGTGTGCACCACTGCACCTGCCCTAAAACTTCTCTTGTATTCTCCCATTAAACTATTTCTAAGAACCACCAAAACAGAAAATTTTTTTTGAAAGCAGTAAAATGATATGGACTGTTAGAATGTAAAATACAGGAAATAAGTCATTATATTTTAGTGCTGCTCTGACATAGGGATGTATTATTGAGAATCAATTTTTGCTCAGTTTTCAGAGAATGAGATAATTCTATCACTGATCTATGAAAAGAAGTTGAAGAACTGTTTGAAAGAAAAGGTAGTACGTCTAAATTGGAAAAGTCTAGTAATACTTTGTTCATGAGCATTTACACAATGCAGTTACTGTTCACCATGGGAGTACTGTGGACAAGCCCAGGGCAGCTGGTCAATTGTGCCATTTTTATATGTTTTTCCTTGTAAGGTGCTTTGTAGTGTCTGTTGAAATAATAGAAACATTATTTGTTTCTACATTACTGCAAAGCTAAGAAAATATATTTCTTTAATCTGTTCTGTTACATGCGGTATTTGGTGGGGTGCGGTGGCTCATGCCTGTAATTCCAGCATTTTGGGAGGCTGAGGTAGGCAGATCACCTGAGGTCGGGAGTTTGAGACCAGCCTGACCAACATGGAGAAACCTTGTCTCTACTAAAACTACAAAATTAGCCGGGTGTGGTGGTGCATGCCTGTAATCTTAGCTACTCCGGCGGCTGAGGCAGAAGAATCACTTCAACCCAGGAAGTGAAGATTGTAGTGAGCCGAGATCCTGCCATTGCACTCCAACCTGGGCAACAAGAGCAAAACTCTTTCTCAAAAAAAAAAAAAAAAAAAAAAAGCTATTTACTAAGATGCCCCTGTCGTCCCTACTTTTATCTTGATGCATCACTGAGTTAATGTTAGATTTCAAATTCTTCTTTACCCTTACACTATCCTGTCCTGAAGCTACCTTTATATCATAATGAAAGAAGTTAGCAATTTGTTATTATCATCTATCTGTTGGCATATATCAAATGTTCACCTAAAAATAACAACAACCAGTAGAAACATTATGTATTTTGACATTTCTATTTGGATGACTATTTATTTTGCAACATTATTAGCAAGCTATAAAATTGTATAGTATGCAGAATTTTAACTAAATTGCTTTAAGTGAACATTTAAACATGATAAACCATATTGAAATTATTTATTTTAATATACTTGAACATTTTGTCTTCAATATGAATAATATAACCTACCTCTCAATGAAAATGAAAACCTAGAATCAGAGTAAATTTGCTAACGAATTCAATAACTTTTCCACAATATTTTTAGCTATGTGCTTAAGGTTCTCTTAGTGTTTCTTGCACTTTATAATAGCTTAAGCCTTTTTTCCTAGTTTTTGTAGGTTCTTGTTTGTTTTGAGACAGAGTTCAGCTCTGTCACCAGGCTGGAGTGCAGTGGCACAGTGTTGGCTCAATGCAACCTCCACCTCTCAGGATCAAGTGACTCTCCTGCCTCAGCTTCCTGAGTAGCTGGGACCACAGGTGTGTGCCACCACACCCAGGTAATTTTTGGAATTTTAGCAGAGACAGGGTTTCACCACGTCAGCGAGGATGGTCTTGATTTCTTGATCTTGATTTCTTGCCTTGGCCTCCAAAAGTGCTGGGATTACAGGCATGAGCTGCCACACCTGGCCTTTGTTGGTGCATTTTAAAGGAAAAAAAAAAAAGTCATAACATATGCTACCGGGAAGCATGGACATTGAGGATTTATTTACATATTTATTGCAAAGACCTGGTTCTTAGGAATTGAATTGAATTTTTTTTTTAAACAAATTATTTTCTTAATCTTATCTAAAAGCATAGGCTCTGGGGACACAGCGGGGCCACATCTCTTATCCTGTCTGAGCCTTAATATCATCCTCTTCTGTGGTTATGAGAACTGAAGACCTGTCTCAAAGATCTGATAAGATAGTGAAGTGCTTCACATAATGCCTGGGATATAAATACATAATAAATGCTTCCTCCTCTTGTCTTTATTTATTTATTTATTTATTTTATTTATTTAATTTTTTTTTTTCAGACAGAATTTTGCTCTGTCACCAAAGCTTGAGTGCAGGGGCATGAACTTGGCTCACTGCAACTTCTGCCTCTTAGGTTCAAGCAAATTTGCTGCCTCAGCCTCCCAAGAAGCTGGGATTATAGGCATGCACTACTACATCCAGCTAATTTTTGTGTTTTTAGTAGAGACATGGTTTCACTATGTTGGCCAGGCTGGTTTTGAACTCCTGACCTCAAGTGATTTACCTGCCTCGGTCTGCCAAAGTGCTGGGATTACAGGCATGAGCCACCACACTCGGCATATGTTTTTATAATGTTATTAAATTAGTACTATTCTGAGTAAAAATAACTAGCTATTACTGTTTTATAAATTGACTAAGACAGTCTTATAAATGTCAGTGCTTTTTATAAGGTGAAACAGATTATGCTGTGGGGCTTTTGTTTTGATGGTGATTTATTAGATTGTTTTGTTTGAAGACAATAATGTTCAGTTACTGTGAAATTATCAAAACAATATTCACATTTTGTAATTTTAAAGCAGTCTTAAAGGTGATTGCCTTAAGGAAAGATACTTTTGTTTTGATGTATAAGTGTGATATTCAAGTTTAGTGTACAGCAGAGGACATTAAACCTAAGTCAGCACTAATGTGCACTTGAAACTTTAGTGCAAATACCAATGTGTAGCAAATAGACTTTAACATATAATGCTTGCCAAAAAATGGAGCTGTTCTGATGGGAGACCTTTGGTTATGTTTGATTTTAACACTCCCCATGCTCTTGACTTTTATTTTTCTTTGTTACCTAGGCTGGAGTGCAGTGGCACAATCAGCTCACTGCAATCTCCACTTCTGAGATTCAGGCCATCCTCCCTAGGGACTAGAGGTGAGTGCCACCATACCTGGCTAATTTTTGTATTTTGAGTAGAGATGGGGTCTCCAGCTTCTGACCTAAAGTGATCCACCTGCCTTGGCCTCCCAAAGTGCTGAGGTTACAGGTGTGAGCCACCCTGTCTGGCTAGCTCTTGATTTTTGGGAGCTGTTGTATTATTTTAATCTTTAGTAAATAAATGCTATCTGAAATGTATAGTTCAGAAGAATCTTCTGCTTCCGTTATTTAAAAAATATATATTTTTAAGTCCAATAATGTTACACTGATGTTTGTTTTAAAATTATTACCTCTTCTATTTAGTACTATATGTATTAAATAATATTAGCTAGTATGTTTTTCTGGCTTTATAATGTGGTTCAGATTTCTATAAAAAGTTTAGCTGTTTCTATATTGCCTTGAAGTCATGAAACATTTCTATTTTTCTTTTCTTCTTTCTTTCTTTCTGTTTTTTTTTTTGAACTGGAGTTTCTCGCTTGTTGCCCATGCACTAGCATGATCTCAGTTTGCTGCTTAGAGGGTGATTCACTCAGAGAAGGTGAACCCACTGTTAGTAAAATATGTCTAGTACCAGATGCTTTTTGATCTCCTAATGACCTATCAAACTGCATGTCTTTTGACTTTGTAATATATTCAGTTCCACATTTATTCATTTAAGAATTGAAGACTTTTTATATCCCCATTATGTGCCAAGCACTGGGTGGGACACTAGGTAACAGAGGTGAACAAACCCTGTTCGCAGGATTTCACAGTGGATGTTAGAATTTAGTGCCATTTAGCTTCATTTGATTCCACAGTAGTTCCAAGATTTTCCAAGATGATCCTGTCTTCAAGTGTCCTGTTGATTCAATTTTAGAATGGGTCTCTCTTCACACCTTACTGCTGCCACCCTGCCATCATCTCTTACCTGAATTTATCTGCCATCATCTCTTACCTGGATTATCTCAGTAGTCTTCTAACTGGCTTTTTTGTTTCCATGTTTGCCTTCTTCAGTCTACTCTCTTTCTCTCTCTTTTTTTTCAGACGGAGTCTTGCTTTGTCACCAAGGCTGGAGTACAATGCCATGATCCAGGCTCACTGTAACTTCTGCCTCCTGAGTTCCAGCAACTCTCCTGCCTCAGCCTTCCTAGTAGCTGGGATTACAGGCATGAGCCACCATGCCTGGCTAATTTTTTGCATTTTTATTAGAGACAGGGTTTCATCATGTTGGCCAGGCTGGTCTTGAACTCTTGTCCTCAAATGATCCACCTGCCTTGGCCTCCCAAAGTGTTGGGATTACAGGAGTGAGCCACTGTGCCTGGCCACTCTACTCTCAATACAACAGCTAGTACAATCCTTTCACAGTGGAATTAAGATCATAATTACCTCTCTGTTCAAACCCTCCAGTGGCTTTGTTTTGTACATGACCTGGCCCCTGCCACCTGTCTCACTGTTCTTCCTGCTACCCTCCTGCTCTTACTCCTCTTTATAAACACTGAGCTCATGTTGTTTCCTTTGGCATGCTAGGCAGGCTTGATCCTGTCCTGTCTCTGGGCCTTGCTGTTTGCTCTGCCTGGAACATTCTTCCCCTACTGTCTGCATGGCTCACTCTCACTGCTTTGGCTTGTGGTTCAAAAGTCACTTTATCAAGGGCCTCCAGGCTGCTCTGAGACTTTGATCACTGCTTGCGGAGGTCTGTCCTACAGACCTTATCTTAGCAATGGATGAATGAAATACTCTCTTACATACGGAATACAGTGCAAGAGTTGGGCTAAGGGGCCCTCAGCTACTTTTAGAGGGCGATTGCAGCTAATTGACTACAACTCCTTTTTCCTTCCTGCATTTACTCAGTATAGATTTAATAACAGGTTTTAAGTCAACATGCTTGTAAATAATTAACATGGGTAAAAGAGTGGATTTATGAATCATAAAAACCTTTGGTTCTGAGACCCAGAATAAACACCATTAACTAGTAATTCTTTTTCAACCTCCCCCGAGAGGGCCATCTAGCACAAAGTTTATGTGAGTAAACAGAGTAGAGACAAAGGAATGTGGGGTAAACAGATTTAACTGGGGAAACTTTTATTATCTTAAAGCTCTAAGGTAAGAACTGACTGTCTTCAACCTGGCTCATTAAAACATTTTGGCTTTCCAAAAAGCTTTGATACTATACCTATAACTTCCCTAATATTTCCCTTAATATTTTGGAAGCCACCCTGAGTGAATCCCAACACTGCTCTGCATAAAATATAACCTTGGCTGGGCGCGGCGGCTCAAGTCTGTAATCCCAGCACTTTGGGAGGCCAAGGCGGGTGGATCACGAGGTCAGGAGATCGAGACCATCCTGGTCAACATGATGAAACCCCGCCTCTACTAAAAATAAAAAAAAACTTTAGCTGGGCATGGTGTCACGTGCCTGTAATCCCAGCTACTGAGGAGGTTGAGGCAGGAGAATTGCCTGAACCCAGGAGGCGGAGGTTGCGGTGAGCCGAGATCGCACCATTGCACTCCAGCCTGGGTAACAAGAGTGAAACTCGGTCTCAAAAAAAAAAAAAATAACCTTAATTTATATTTCCTATTTGATTTCTGACTCCCCCTTGTCCTTCACTAAAATGTAAACTCCATAAGGGTAGGGATTTTGTCTGTTTTGTTCTGTTGTATCCCTAAATACCCTAGAAGGTGCTCAGTAAATACTTGTTGGTTGAATGAATAAATCAGCCCATTATTGAATCAGTCAATGTCTTATGTAGAAGGAACATCTCATACCAGTGGTGCATATCTGTATGATAGCTGGCATAGGGAGGGGTGTGGTCAGAATGGCTATGTCTGTGTGGACTAGTTTTGCCTAGCATGATCCCAGCAGGTTCCTATTGGGGTTAAGCCACAGTTTCAGCCATACTAGTATCATTCTTTAATCATAAAGCCAGAGGATGTTAAGATTGGAATTGATCTGGAAGACTATTTGGTCTACCTTTCTTGTGATTTATATGAGAATAACAGAGCCCAGAGAAATAAGTTAATTACTCACAATTGTAAATCTGTAGAGGTCTGCCTGAGATTAGGCTTCTGATATCAGATTCCATAGTCTTTCCTACATGTGTTCCCCCTGGCTGAGACAGTTCGCGGGCTTTCAGATTTGACAGTTTTCCCACCAGTCTCTAAAAAGGAGCTTTTATCTGCGCATTATAGGTTAGCATAGATGAATGATGACCCTAAAATGTGTGGGAAAATCCCAAAGGTTGACCACTGTGAATGGGAACTATCCCAGATGTGTCAGGAGCACCACAGGCATGCTCACTTCTTCACTGGCTAGAGCTGGGTAAGATGGAAAGGAAACCCAAATGAAGACACTTTGCTGCTTCAGTTCTTTTATTGCATGTCACAGTCCAATGTGTCTCCATTTAAAGTCAGATTTTTTGATGAATGGTCACACCAGCTGCAGGCCCTTGGGTCAGAAGTCTTGATATCACCAATTGTTCATTTTCTTGTTGGACTTCCATACTTCAGGCATTTGTGTGTAGCTGGTCAATTGTGAAGTTTTCAGGGTGGTGTAGAACCCCCTCTTTTGGGGACAGTTGGTTCTCCTTGTGCAGCATGTCCTAAAGCTGGCCTGTCTCCATCCTCTTTCTAAGTGTGTGAGGTCTTTTGTTAGGCAGGATAAAGTGAGAGAGGACTCCTAAAGAGGGAGAAAAACTCCAGCATTTGCTGAAACATGTTTGTAAACTGACCAAGATGTAATTGGAATGGCATAAAAAGACTAAAATTTATTTAACTTCTTGCCATCTGGCTTGTGATATATGATGCCTTCAATTGAGTTTAGAAGGAATGTTGATCACAGGTCAAGAGGTGAGATATATGTGTGTGTGTGTGTGTGTGTGTGAGTGTGTGTGTATATATATATATAGATAGATAGATAGATAGAGAGCGAGAGAGAGAGAGAGAGAGAGAGAGAGAGAGAGAGAGAGATGGAGTTTTGCTCTATTGCCTAGTCTGAAGTATAGTGGTGCAATCTCAGCTCACTGCAACCTTGGTTTTTCGGGTTCAAGTGATTCTTCTGCCTCAGCCTCCCAAGTAGCTGGGATCACAGGCATGCACCACCACATCTGGCTAATTTATGTATTTTTAGTAGAGACCGGGTTCATCAAGTTGATCAGGCTTTTCTCGAACTCCTGACCTCATGTGACCCACCCACCTTGGCCTCCCAAAATGCTGGGATGATAGGTGTGAGCCACCACACCTGGTCGGATAATTGAGTTTCTTATTATATCTGGGTTTTTGCAGAATTTTAGTGACTAAAGAATGTACACTAGTGTTAATTTTGTTTTTCTTTATGAAAGAAGTAATTTACTTTTTATATAATTACTTGCCAGTCATTGGAAGGAAAAGTCCGAGTTTTTGTCCACAATGATAGGAATTATTGTTACATTACAGGATGACTCTGTGAATGCCTTTAGGAAAAATCCCTAGTCACATCTTGACCATTTTACTAGCTGTGAGACTGCCATTGTACTGGTTACTGTAAAATTTCTTGGTTTTCTTTCTAGACCTGAACTAGTTATTTGCTACTTCCCTCCTGGAATGGCTAGTAAAATAAACACTAAAGGTAAGAGATTACATGTACTTCTTACTATATTTTACTACATTAAGACATTCTTTATCAGCATTTCTGAAATCATACAGAATCATTGCCCAATGTCTTTGTGGGACTTGCAGTTAGTTTCTTGGCTTTTTAAGGTATTTTATTTAATGGACCTTTTTTTCTTTTTCTTTCTTTCTTTTTTTTAATTTGCTAAAAGTGTCACATGTGCAATTCCACTTCATTTATATTTCCAAGGCTTTGTTGAGCCCCTTGTGGAGGATTACACTAACAAGTTTAATTCTGCAGGTTTCTTTGAAAATCACCAAATGGTATGAGTTTTATACTCTGCTCTTTTTTTTTTTTTTTGAGACGGAGTTTCACTCTTGTTACCCAGGCTGGAGTGCAATGGCGTGATCTCGGCTCACCGCAACCTCCGCCTCCTGGGTTCAGGCAATTCTCCTGCCTCAGCCTCCTGAGTAGCTGGGATTACAGGCATGCGCCACCATGCTCAGCTAATTTTTTGTATTTTTAATAGAGACGGGGTTTCACCATGTTGACCAGGATGGTCTCGATCTCTTGACCTCGTGATCCACCCGCCTCAGCCTCCCAAAGTGCTGGGATTACAGGCTTGAGCCACCGCGCCCGGCCTACTCTGCTCTTATAAAGCATCTTCTTCTGTATTTTTCTACAATATACTAAAGTAATTCTGTGCTTATTTAACAGCTTTGCAGTCCCCTAAAAGACCATGAAGCCCTGAGAGTAATGTAAAGATTCCTGAAATTGAGATCACCATGGAAAATAGGGGCCAGTCTTTGGCATGTTTCTGTTGATTCTCCAGTTTATTAGCTTTGTCAGTTCACTAGCTATATGTTTATACAGATGAAGTTAACCAGGCTAATTTCACATGTGCACAGCTGCCTGTGATAAAGCTAAATTTCTGAATGTTTTTAATTGATGTTTTGAAAATCGTTAACAGAAAATAAATAACATGAATCACCTTACAAACTGCACTAAAAAAAAATCCCTAAAATGCTTTTTCTTTATTACAACAAATAAGGATGCTGAGGGTCACGTGGAACGTTTCTTCATCTTTTGTCCTCTTTGTTTTTTCTGTTCTTTTAAGGAAAGAAAGTTGAGGGGTAGTTTAAACAGCAGTGCCTAGAATGAAAGCATTTCCTACAACACCCTCTAATGTATTTCCTTCTCTCCTTGCTTATGCGGTCTGCTCATAAGAGGGAGACATGACAGGAGATCCCTGTCATGTCTCCATCCAAGCAGGACATATATAAGTAAAGAAAATGCAGTGTGAGCCCTGCCTGCAGCCATGGTCAAGAAAAGGGAGAGGCTTTTTTTTTTTTTTTTTAACCCTAGCAGAATTTTGCATAAGTCTCTTGGTTTTAAAAAAGATGAATTTATCATAATAAAATAAAGTACAAACTCTGAGACCAAAGTGATAGAATTTTAATCTGCATTCTGCCACTTAGGAAAATTCTTTAAGTTCTCTGTCCTTTAGGTTGCACACCTGTTAAATGAGAAAAGGAAAATAACATTTGACTCATGGTTTTCAAAAATCGAGATGTTAAATTTCAAAAATCGAGATGTTAAATTATAAGCACTGCTGGGTGCAGTGCTTATAATTAAAATCTCATGCTTATAATTCCAGCACTTTGGGAGGCTGAGGAGTGTGGATCATGAAGTCAAGAGATCTACATCCTCCTGACCAACATGGCAAAACCCCGTCTCTACCTAAAATAAAAAATTAGCTAGGCATGGTGGCATGTGCCTGTAATCCCAGCTACTCAGAAGGCTGAGGCAGAAGAATCACTTGAGACTGGGAGGTGGAGGTTGCAATGAGTCAAAATCACGCCACTGCATTCCAGCCTGGGTGATGGAGCAAGACTCCATCTGAAAAACAAACAAACAAATTGAGATGTTATTTCTTTTGTTTTTTCTTTTTTTCTGAGATGGAGTTTCACTCTTGTTGCCCAGGCTGGAGTGCAGTGGCGCTATGTTGGTTCACTGCAAGCTCCACGTCCCGAGTTCAAGAGATTCACTACCTCCGCCTCCCAGGTAGCTGGGATTACAGGCATGCACCATCAAACCCAGCTAATTTTTGTATTTTTAGTAGAGATGAGGTTTTGCCATGTTGTCTATGCTGGTCTCAAACTCCTGCCCTCTGGTGATTTGCCCACCTTGGACTCCCAAAGTGCTGGGATTACAGGCATGAGCCACTTCACCTGGCTGAGATGTTATTTCTTTATTAAACAGCTGCTATCATTTCAGACCACTTGATATTTAGGCGCTTAAGAATTTTTCACTGGAAGGCATGTAAAGAAGGATGATGAGCATTTGTAAAGGATTTAGGATTTATCATTTGACTGCATGACTGACCCCCAGAGCTGGCATTTTAGTAAGAAATTTTTCAGAAGCCAATTAATTAGCTAGCAACTGAGGCAAACCAGCCACTACCCTCACCATTCAGTGCTCTTTTTTCCTCTGTTTCTCCTCAAACTTGGTTACTCTCACAAATCAATTTTAAAAACTTGCATTTCTTTCCTTTTCTTTTCAGAGAGAGGGACTTGCTCTGTCACTCAGGCTGCATTGCAGTGGTGTGATATGGCTTGCTGTAGCTTCATTCTTCTGGGCTCAAGCAGTACCCCCATCTCAGCCTCTTAAGTAGCTAGGGCTACAGACATACACCATCACACAGAGGTAAATTTTTTATTTATTGTTGTAGAGATGGGGTCATGCTATGTTGCCTAGGATGGTCTTGAACTACTGGAATCAAGTGTTTCTCCTGCCTCTGCCTCCCAAAGTGCTGGGATTATAGGCAGGTATGAGCCACCTATGCCTGGCCACCAATATATATATATGTATTTTTAAATAACACCTTTATTGAAATGCACTTCACATACCATACAATTTATTAAAGTATGCAATTCGGTGGTATTTAGAATATTCATGGAGCTGTGCACCTATTACCCCAATCAATTTTCGAAGCTTTTATTACCATATAGAGAAATCCACATTTCTTTATAACTAGCTTCTACTCCCCCTATAACCTTATGCTCCCATAGGCAACCACTGATCTATATTCTGTCACTATAGAGTTGCCTAATCTGGACCACTTATATAAACAGGATTGTGTAATGTGTGATCTTTTGTGGCTGGCTTTTTTTTTTTTCACTTTAGCACAATGTTTACAGAGTTCTTTCATGTCATAGCATGTGTCAGTATTTGATTTCCTCTATGGATGAATAATATTCCGTGGTAGAGACACACCACATTTTGTTTATCTATTTATCAGCCAACCTGCTGCCTCTCCTTCCCCAGGTTGTCTTTCTACTCGGGACATGCCTCCTTTGGGATGTACTGCGTGGTGTTCCTGGTGGTGAGTCCGTTTTTCTGGGGCTCGCCCGTCAAGTCACTCCCTTCCCTGGACCTCGGTTTTTCCAGCTGTAAAATGGGTGGGTCGTGGTGGTGATGGAGGCGCTCACTGACTTGTTTGTAAAAAAAACAGGAGGCCCTCGGCTGGCTGGTTTTATGCCCTCGGCCTCGGAGCTGCCATCTGTGCAGTTGGCGTGGGGGTGCCTGGCAGGGCACAGGCTGAGGCGCCCTCTCCTGTCCCAGCGCTACATGCAGGCGCGGCTCTGCTGGAAGTGGACACAGCTGCTGCGGCCCACGGCCCAGTTCTTCCTGGTGGCCTTTGCCCTCTATGTGGGCTACACCCGCATGTCTGATCACTGGAGTGACGTCCTTGCTGGTCTCCTGCAGGGGGCGCTGGTGGCTGGCCTCACTGTGAGCTTCTGACTCTCACTCACCTCCTGTGCTGTTCAGAGACCACTCCCTGCCCAACTCTGGTCCTTCCCTGCACACTCTTGCCCCACGGAGTCCTCCCCTGTGACCCCTTCTTCCAACCCTGGTCCTTCCCTGGGACCCCTCCTTCCCCCGGTTTCTCCCCTGGGACCCGTACCCCAAACTCCAGTTCTTCCCTGGACCCCTCCTTCACCCCCAGATCCTTCCCTGGGATTCCTTCCCCCAATCCCAGTTCTTCCCTGGACTCCTCCGTTCTCTCCATTTCTCCCCTGGGACCTCTTCCCCCAATGCCCATCCTTCCCTGGGACCCCTTTTTCCCCTCGTTTCTCCTCTGGGATCCTCCAACCCCAGTCCATCCCAGGATACTTCCCCCCCTACATCCTCCCCTGGCACCCCTTCCCCCAACCCCAGTTCTTCCCTGGACCCAGTTCTCCCCATTTCTCTCCTGGGACCCTTTTCCCCAACCCCAGTCCATTCATGGAACCCCTCCTTCCCCCATTCCTCCCCGGGACCCCTTCCCTCAACCCCAATCCTTTCTGGGGGCCCCTCCCTTCCCCCCATTTCTCCCCTGGGACCCCTCTCCCCAAACCCAGTCCTTCCCTGGACACCTTCTTTCCCCATTTCCTTCCCTGGGTCTCCTGCCTGTACGCCGCAGTCCCTCCCTGGGCCTGTCAGTGCCCCAGTGCTCTCCACTGGTCCTCCACTAAGAGGGCTCTCTTCCCCCCACAGGCACTCTTCCTCTCATTGCCCACCTGGGACCCTGTTCCTCCCCCTCCTGCCCATGCCCATGTCTCTGGTGCCTGTCCAGCCCCTGCCCAGTCTCACCTTCCTCCACTCTGCCAGGTCCGCTACATCTCAGTCTTCTTCAAAGCCCAACCCCCACAGCACTGCCAGAAGTAGGAGGAGCTGGAAAGGAAGCCCAGTCTGTCACTGAGAGTGGCCCTGGGCGAGGCTGACCATAACCACTCTGGGTACCCACACTCCTCCTCCTGAGGCTGAATGCCACCCAGGCAGGGAGTGGCTGTGAGTCCAGCTGAGGCCGGTCCCCCAGGTGGTCCCTCTGGCCCTGGGTAGGCACTGAGGGCCCCGGATGGGCTCCAGGAACCCTGGACTGATGGGAGCAGTGAGCAGGCTCTGCTGCCCCTGCCCTGCACTGGACAAGGGGTCTGGAGAGGCCTAGGTAGCCCTGAGCATTTGGAGGGGGACCTGTTCCCGTAGCTCCCCAATATCCCCATTCTTTTATGGGGTTAAGGAAGGGACTGTTTTGTAAAATGTAACGTACATGTAGTTTTTAGTAAAATAGGGCATTGGTTTGACGAGTAGTCTCAGTGCCTCTGTTCCTTACGGCCGTTCTTGGACGGTGTTCCTCCCGTCAGAGGGCTCCTCGGAGCTCAGGCGTCAGGCCGCCTTACCCGCTGTGACAGTGGAGGGCAGCAGCCAAGCCCGCCCCTTTGTGTTTCTCCGTGCACGGCGCTGGGGTCCAGGGTCTGATGGGTCAGCACACCCCTCCCCTCTGCTCATGTCCACCCCGTGTACCTGGGGGCCACGCTTCTGAAATGGGTCATTCAGGGGCTGGTTTCCCTGAAGTGATGGCAGAACGCACAAAGCTTACTTTTTCAACAGGTAGGTAAAGGGTACATTTGTTTTTTTGTACAGGAGGTAACTTAAGTGTCTACTGATGTTTTGTTTGCACCTGGAACCTCTCTTATTCCCTCACCCTGCAGGGTGTTCCTATCAGGCCTTAGCCTACGGGAAGGGTGGTGTAGCCCTGGGGGCAAAAGTGCAGCCTGGAGCCCCACCCAAGGGGCTGGAATGGAGACCTGCCCTTGGCGGATGGGAAGGAAGGTGACGCAGACCCTACGGAACTCCAGCTGAACGTCAGGGACTTGCCTCCCTGCAGGTGTCAGACGGGATCCTGGCCCGGAAAGTCACACCGAAGCCTCCCAGGTATCCTAGGGTGTCCCAGCAGGCA